TGTACATTAAAACATTCTATGCATGATTCCTTTTTTATAATTTCAGTTAATTTGTATAGTCTATACGTGGTAGAGCCATGCTGTAGCTATATTTCTGGTATAGTTGTAACACGAATGGGTCGGCTCGGCCGGGGAAGGACCACGCTCTCACAGAATACCAGCGTAAAATTGCAGCTTAATTCTGCTGTGTTTCGTATGGTGAGTGTAGAGAACCGGAGACCCTTATTACTGAAAACGTTTGTCACCCTTATCCTATAAAAAAAAAAGTCTAATTTTCTTAGGTAAGGTTAGGTTATGCAATGATTCCATCAGTTCTGCTTAGGCTAAACTAGTTAAGGCTAAAGTATTTAGGACAAACAAGATTGTCCTGGGCTATTCTAGTATATCCTGACATACATAAGACAAACCAATTTGGCCTAGGACAAACTAGTTTGGCCTGAAATCGGGTTTGACCGCAAACATATATTTTTATAAAAACGTTACATACTGATTAGCAGTTTACATACATACATAAATTATACACACTAATAATATGTGTTAATATGCGCCATACACGCTGTTAAATCAACAAATACACTTTTATAAGATATTAATAAATTCATACTTGACGTGACTTATAAGAAAACACTACTTTCAATAATTTTTCAATAATTTTGAAGGGACTAACTATTTACAAATTATCTACATCTTAATTGCACAAGAAACATTGGTGTTATATTTAAATATATAATATTTTTGTATTGTTGCACACATTTCCTTCAACTTCTGGTATAATTGCATCAATGCTTGCATGTTGTTATATTATATCGTTTGTAGTACGAAGCACGATGAGAGTCCAGCCGGTTGTGAAAAATATTCTATCAATAAAATTCTAAATCGATAAAAATATTTCATATAACATAAAATCATACACAAAGAAATCAACGAAAATATAAACATACAATGAAAGCATTCCTTTCTCTAAAATCGACATGAAAACTACAAGTAGTTTTGTTAAAAGTAGTTACAAAGCATAAAATATATCAGAAATATTAGGTTAGCTGATGTCTTCACAAGCTTACATAGTAAGTACCGTCTACAGTCTACAGTAGCAGGTAGCATAAGAATTAACGTAATATTGCATTTGAAACTGGACTTGCAACGAATACGGTCGCACGCCGAACACCGAATATTTTGCCGACTTCCTGGCCGAATAACCGATTACAAGGCAAAAATATTCGACCGGCATGTATTGTTTATTCTTCAGAGCGTCTATTCTCCGAAGCTGAGATTGTCTACAAGAAGAAAAGGAGTAAACTACTGCCTGAAAATTAAGAAAAATTTGACTTTCTGCACCACTCATCAAGTGGAAGATCACTTTAATTACGATAATTCGAGTGCAGATATTTAGCTGATAGTTCTTTTTTTATAATATGAAAGTTGATTACGGAGGGTATCTATGACTTTAACTATTACAAGAAAAAAAATCATTATAAATTTTTGTAATATAAGTGTTAATTTATAACGTCTTCGAAGTCATTTTTCGAAGATAGCGCGGAAAATTATTTTCTGATTTCAACCTACGCTTGGTATCTGACAAAAGATGTTTATATATCGATATATTGTATTCTACAATGCGTGTTATAAATTTTTGAGGCACATCCTTGGATGAAATTTGTATTCAAAGTATCCATCCTGACATAATTAATATACAAAAATCTCAAATCTATAAAATATAAGAGCATACAAACGTCGTCTCCTCGGCGATAGTAGTTAAATATTATGAAAACGTCTCACAATAGCGACTGTCGCTAAGTATTGCAATATGTGTGACGAGCGTCGATTATCGCCGAAAGCACAGTTTTGTGGTACGAGTTTACGAGGCTCGCAGCTGCTGTGAAGTGCGTGGGTAGGCTTGTGTAAAAAATATCGATATATCGAAATTTTCTCACTGAATTATCAATATTTATCGTCGGTATTATTAATCGCGATATATCGACGTTAAATATTTATTTTAGAGTATCGAATTCGTATCAATTTCGAAATATTTATTCTATAATGTAATAGATAATGTTATTTATCAGACAAAACAATAAAGTAACAAAAGCAACTACAAAAGCGTTCATGTGCTGTTGTTTTTCTTTTGTCAAAACGTTCAGTAATAATAAATATTGGCTCTCATCCTACTACATATTGCAAAACAAGACGATATATCGACATTTATCACCCGATAAATATCGATACTCTTTTAAAATATCGACACGATAAATATTGATATATTTTTTTCACTTGCCATCCCTAAGCGCCAGGGCGAGCGGGCGGGTCGACGCGGTGGCTTTTTTATATATTATCTATCAGCAAAAATAATTAGCGGCTTAAATAATTAGACTTTATACACGTATAAATCTATACATTAACACATGGACATCGTAAATTGTTGTAAGTTTTTTTATATTTTATTATATAGGAGGGAACTCATATTTAATACCTATGCCGTTCGAATGGTACTGCGCCGTTGATGTGCAGAAAAAAACAATTATTTTTTTTTCTTACAAAATACTAAAACCAATTAAGTGATTGCAATTTCTTTTTCAACTGCCACTAGTCTTAATTATTGTTATCGGCTCGGTATGTTCTAGCGTGGGAGCCTCAAGAGTTTGAATTAAGATTTATGTTATAATACATTAGACTAAGATTAAAATCCTAAGAGATATAAAATTCTTAGCACTTACTTTCAAATGTCATATATTACAATTAGGTCCCAATTGAATTAATTATGTTCAAGAACACTTTGCGTTTAAAATACTTCAAGGTAGACGTCTTAAAAAGTAGGTTTAGAGATGTTAAAAATAATATAATACAAATTATACAAAGATGTGTATTTTTTAAATAAACACATAAAGTAAAGTAAAGCTAAACGCTTACATAATCTGTGTAAACGTTAAAGATAAAATAAACACAAACATAAGTTTAAATTCATACAAAAATATAGGAAAATTATACAAGTTCTCAATTTTATAAATTATTAAATTCGTTACAAAAGGCAAGATTAGCCTACCTATAGATCTCTTTCAACTGGTGAAAATCACAGAATGCAAACTTTACAAAACACTAAATCTAGTAATAAATTAATGCTGAAAATAAATACCTTAGAAGGCTAAATGTTTAACAATATTTGATATGTTATTTTCGTTCGAAGAGGAAATCACTTACTCAAAGGGAATCTAAATATCTTTACAAAGCAATAATAAAAAAACATCATATCGCCATTTCACACGTAACATGTGCATGTCGTTACATAGAAATTGAATATTATATATGTGGCAGTTTCAAATATTATGGTTGAAGCTCGAAAGGTCGGCTTGACCGGGAAAGGACCACACTCACAGAATACCAGCGTGAAATAGCAGTACAATGTATTTCGTATAGTCCCTTTTTAGCGGAAACGAGGCATTCCATCTTGGTCCTCAGTGACAACGCGTCTACATTTTTATTCTTAATCGAGGATCGATATAGACGTCTAAGTGCCGCACCACACACTTATCTTCAGTTAGACTGTGTGCTTGAAACCCTTATTCTAAATGAAAAAAAAAATGAAAGTAAGTGTGTAACACCCTTATTCTATATGAATAAGAAAAATTAAAAGAAAGAAACATACAAAAAGTATATTATTACTAGCAATAAAACAAAGTGCATTCATCTTACATATACAAATATAACTTTAAATAGAAATAAGGAAAACAAGGGAACGATGTAACAGACATGCACAAGTTTAACTCATTTTCACTTAATAACATAATCATCGCAAGCTCGTTGCGATTCGTCGAAACTATTATAAAACCTTCTGCTTAATTAAATAAACTAAAATAATATATGGTAAATAATTCTTATTTGACATTTTAAGATTCTTATTTTCATATTTGGCTTTTAGTAAAATTTATTCTAAATGGTAAGTATTTACACTTATAAGTAAAGTTATATAAAAAAAAAAACTTGTTATGGCAACATTCATGATGAATTACTTTTATAATTATAGTAGGTATTATTATTAATACTTGAACTTCATATTGTGTAATACATTGTGTATCCGAAAGCGAGACTGATAGTTAGTGTGTTGGGAATATCCGAATAATATATGAAAGCATGTAACAAATTAATAATGAATACTATAAGGCGCTGCGCAAACGTAGATACTTTTGTGTCGTGTGGAATACAAGATACCAGTGAATATTTTATTTTCATGTAATCAATATGAGATCAGCCATTCTTTGCGTAACTTGGTAACTGGGGACTTTAAGTCTTCAGTTGAAGACACAAGCAACACAAAGCAAATTTCCTTACAATTGTACGGCGCTGACATTGACGTGGTTGATTTACCTGTAAATATAGACGGGTACGACGTCTGCGTCAAAGTTTAATCAACACAACGAGCAAAAGTAATATTTTTTCAACGACATCCATCGTGAAACTGACGGAAACAAGAAAAAAATTGTTAGCAGTGACCAGAAGTAGCCGGCAACTGTGTCCGCTTGCCGCTACCGGTTGGTATAACAACTACAGTTTCCTGTGATGGTGTGCCGTTTCAGTAACAAAATGTGTCCACGTTTGCGCAGCGCCTAATAGAGTACGTTTATTGACCATGTTTTTAAATCGAACTGAGAGAAACGAAGGGCATACGATGTCAAGATGTAACGAACGATTCTTGCGATAATCACCGATTTCTTACGAAAGTCAATGAATCGTCGATTAGAAAAATATAACAAAAGTATTATGATGTTATGGTATGAAGAATTCGTGTTACAAGCACACATATGATGTATTAAATGAAATGATTAATTAAAATAAATAAGTAGCCTATACAACACTGAAGTTTTTTTCTTTAAATTTAAACATTCCTTCGTTCATTCATTCGATCATTCTCAAATAATTTAAGTTAATTGATACTGGTAAAAATATTTTTATCATCTATCGTATCACTATCGAAGTTGGTTTTCTAATGGCAAGGTGAGGCACTATCAGTTTCATTCAGTCTCCATCTTTATAAGTCCTTGGGCGTAGGCCGTTTGAATACTCTCGCAGACAAATTTATACTGGCTCTGTAAAGACAAAACAGAATGTCAGAAAACTTTCATGTGCACAACTAGACGTTGACTGGGATTTGGTGGAATTTCAAAGCGAGTTTTGAGGTGCCGGTTTGAGAAAAGATTAAGACGACTTGCAGTTCCTTTTTTAACTTTATGAAACCTCGGTAAATTCACTGAAAAGTAAGTATTGTTCAAAAATAAAGTTATTTTATGAAAATTGAACATACGAAAATTTTGAACGGACGTATGCGAGGTTTGTGTGTTTGTGTGTGTGAGTGAGTGAGTGAGTGTGCGTGTGTGTGAGAGAGAGAAAGAGAGTGTGTGTGCGAGTGTGTGTGCGAGTGTGTGTGCGTGTGTGTGTGTGTGTGTGCGCACGCACCGCGTTCTGTATGCACATGGGGCGCTGCGTGCGCATGGCGCGCACGAGGTCGAGCGGGTAGAGCGGCTGGCGGCGCGCGAGCAGCTCCAGCGCGGTCTCGGCGAGCACGAGCGCGCCCGTGCGCCCCACGCCCGCCGAGCAGTGCACCACCATCGGCGGCTCCACCACGCGCTCCGTTTCACCGCTTTCTTCCTCCTCTGGGATCACTGCAAAACAAACATTCAATATAAAAAATTTAAAGGCTAAAACAGTGTTAAAATAATACCACATCCAAAATTCCGATACAATAACTTATTTACGTTTTCAAACGTATAATTTTTAGATGCCTTGGAACACAAAACCTTTTATTAATTTACTTGTCAGAAATGTAATTTCAAATTACCGCGAAAGTCTAAAAACGTGTACTTTTTAATTAAAGGCAAAGGAATTTATTTGCATACAGCCTAGTCTGACGTATATTTCGTTCATCCGATTCTTAACGCAGTTGTGCAGTTTTAATGATAGTATAATTTTAATCGGACAGTTGATGGGGATAGTATTAGTATCTCAAGGAACCATTAGAGCAAGGGTTACATCGATTGCTAATAGTTCACATGCGCTTACACTTAATAAACAAAATTGCACCTCTTTTACGTATCGGAATCTACTTCAATTCATTATTTAACGACAATACATGGTATTATGGTACGCTGGTATTTTATGAGAGCATGATCTTACACCGATCGTGACGACCCATTCGTGCTACAACCATAATATAGCTACAGCGTGGCTCTATCACGTATAATACTGTCTAGCTTTAGCTTATTCTTAAGGGTTTAACATTAAAAGTCAATTAGGAAGTGTTATGGTTAAATACTGACCAGCCCGATGGTTTCTCAGCCTGGAGCAGAGCTGCGTGAAGCTTATGAAGGCGGCGGGATCGTCGGGCACGCCGTGGTCCGGCCACGCCGTGTACTGCAGCTGCGTCACGTTGCGGGACGCGCCGCTGCTCTCCTGCAAGATCATATAAACGTCACCTCGCTGACCCATAAACTGCTCTCGACAGCTGGACATAGGTCTCGTCCATGATAGGATCTCCACGATTTGTCGCGTATTGGTGATCACGGTACCAGATTTATGACACTAATATTCGTTGGTTTAGGTTCTTTACATCCATAATAATAAATAAAATTGAATGGTGTTTTTACTAAATACATATGAAAGTAAATACGGTACTTTTTGGTAGTACAAGTTAACTTTTCTGCCTGGGAGTTCATCTGGGTAGCTACACCTTCTTACTTATTTCTGTCGCCAAATAGCAGTGCGTGTAATTCCAGGCCATGAGGTATTCCACCTTAGCTTTCTAAGGCGACAAGGTATCTTTAGTTTTTATTTAAAGTAGTTTTTAAGTGTCTATGGGCCGCTGAAGCCGCTCACCATCATGTGAACTATAAGTTCAATTTACTCTTCAATCTTAAAAAAGTAAGTTAATGTAAATATTCATTTTTAATTCATACACTTAATTTATTGTAGCATACGCACCAAAACCGAAATAGAGGTTGCTTTAATACTACACTGGGAGACAAACACTCAGATCAGATGATTTACGATAAACCATGTCCGTTTGACGCTTGAAATATGCAGTAGCAAACATAAAGCACACATGTACCTTAAGCTACTCTAGCACTCAATGAACTTCCGCCTTCCATTTAAAGACCAACAGTGATATTTAGGCATCATATTGTGTGAAAAGATTTAAGATGGAAGGAGAGGTCTTCACCCTAGCGATAGGATGTGTGTGTACAAACATATTACAGTTTTTAATCTTCGCACATTAGGCGCTTTTCGTAACAATTTTTTGACAGGTACAGTGCACAGACGTAATGCAACTACGTTTTACCAGAGCTAATTTAAGAATTGTACATGGATATGAATAAAAAAGTGCTTTAGATTAATAACGGTCACAGTATACTAAATCATAAGGTAATATTGTACTAACCTTTATAGTCATTTCTCTCCTAATGTAATGTCCCAGGTTCTGTTCACTGTGTGTAAGTATGGTCAATGTGTCTGTGGCTTTTAATGGTGTCGTGCCAACTTTAGGCCAGTACTGATGACATTTGGCCCGTCCACGTTCTACCAGTACCGTTAACATTACTATGAGGCTACTCTCACTCTCCCACACCATTTGCCAGAAATCTCCAACTGTTGAAGCTAGTGGACCTGTGAAAAAAAATCATCAATCAACACGTGACCTACTCTTTATGGGCCACAGCATCTCAACTCTATCTATCCTCGATTTAAGAATTGAAAGAATTAAAATTTGTCATTGTCACTTCTGTGGGCTTAGATAGAACAGAATGCCTCATTACTAATAAAAATGGTGTGATAATGGTGTTGGTACTAAACAAACCAAAGTTGTTAGTGTACTAATTAATTCGGGGACCTGCCTGTCCCTGACTTAATATACAGTGTTAAACATTACTGAAGCTGATTTTTTTTTAACTAGGCTCAAACTGACAAACTACTTGTAAAAAAATATTTGAACCATTCGAAAATTACCTTGTGTTGCAATATACGTCAGGACGAGATCAGAGTTTGGTATTTCCATATTAATGTATGAAGCATTAATATAATCGCCAGTTGGTCCATTCTTAAGTATCACTCGCGTCGAGTCGTCTAAAAAAAAGAAAACCGTAATAAGTCCAAAAATCAAAAATGCAAAATATATAATATATTACATAGCATATTATAATATTGTGTTATTGAAATACTATAAGTGTAATTCAGCATAATCTCTGCCCGGTTGTGTCCGTCCCATCAGACTTTGAGACTCGTGCTCTATAAACCTGACCTGCGCAGATGGCTAGTCTCCGTTGAGACTGGCCGCCGTGAAATTCGGTCCGGAGGACATCATTATAAGGATATAGCACAATTTTTTTAATATCATTAAAATTGGTAAATCTGCAATGGGTGACGCAAACTGACAAGGTATCACTAGATTTTTCTTAATGATTTTTCTTAAATATTTAATTTAAAAAATGTGTTTTTTATTTATTCTAGTAAATTAAATGTCTTTGTGCATCAAGATGCAATGGATATGCAGTATTCAGTAACGCGACTAAGTGAAATTCATATGGCATGTCAGTATCTGGCAGATCATATATCATACATGGTGCGATGTCCCTGTAGCGGTTCTTGGCGAGGTTGCATGCGCGGCGCGAGGCGAGGCTGGGCAGGTCGAGGCGGCGCAGCAGCGCGTCGTACTGGCGCAGCGCGGCGCCGGACGCCAGCCCGTCGCCCAGCAGCAGCAGCGACTGCGCCGGCTCGCCCGCACCCCCCGCCCCGCCCGCCGCACCGCCCACGCTCCCCGCGCCCCCCAGCGGCACGAAGCACACCGCCGGCTCCTCGCTGCCCGCACTCTCCTCCGCAGAGTACACCGCTGCCGGACATAAGCACACTAAAGCGCACAACACAACAAATCACTAAGCAGCAAGTGACACGTGACGTGTACATTGCAGCGGCGCAGCATATAATATGAAAGATCATTTAGACGAGTTTATTATGCAATTTTTTGCTGTTTGTTCCAGTAATAAGACAAAAATTATTTACTTAATAATAAATACGGTATACAAACTCACCATTCGGTCTAACAACCAATGTGAGAACTCCTTTCGTATTTCTTATCAACTGCACAATTTCATCGTGAGTCATTTCTTCCACATCCTGGTCGTTTATTGATATCACCTAAAAAATTAAAACACAAAAAAAGTACTAAAGTAAAATAATTTTTAAATATCACAATATTGTGAAAAGGATTTGCCCATTACTTGGCCGTAGTTATTCAATCAATAAAATAAATACAAAAACCACTCATATTTAATAACAAAATTATTGCAATTGCTTATTAGTTTGTAAAACTCGGGAAAATTAAGACAATATGAAAAAGACAGTCAATATATACGAGACATTTATTGTGACATTAGTTACATGACTTCAGCCAAAAAGAAAGAAACGTTTAACATTTCTCATGGCAACTGTCTACTTGCAATGTCAATCTTTTTTAAAAAATGGGTGACAAATCTTACATAACAATTAATACACGGAAGGATGGATTAACAATCTTTTAAAAATCTTTTATTTTTGTTCGTATTTTCGCTACTGTATGTGGTTTTCTTTTAAAAAAATAATAATCTGTCTAGGCTGTATGACCTTTTGGCCCTTGCCTTTAAAAATAATCGAGAGTATAACATTACATTTTTCAAGTTTTTTGTTGTGCTCTTGCAATGGTATTCTCTTTTTATAATTATCAATACCGATGAAAATGGAATATAATGAACACTAGAATATTGTTATTAGTCTAATATATTCATCAGTCAGCTCAGTTTATAGAGAACTATACATGTATAAAAAATTGACCACGTTTTAGGTAAAAAAATAATTGTTGTTTCTTAATCTGTTATATCAACTCTAATGCCTATGGGATATTCTATTCATGGGTGCCATGTAACAAGATATTCCTTGCAAATGGGCATATCCCTTTGAATAAAATTTTCCTTTTCTCTCATTACAGTCTCACCATTACTGCCTGCTCCTGTTTCTTTTACAAAAGCGCGTTGGAACACTAAACGTGTCTACCTTCATGCGGTGGAACTCGCTATACATGGCACTCATCCGCTCGCCCTCCCACTGCAACGTAGGTCACACTAACCTGGTCGTCCACCTGCAGCTTGGGGCACACTCACTTAGGTGCCCCACAGTAGCGCGGGGCACACTCACCTAGCCACTCACCTGCAGCTTTGAGCATACTTACTATTAGCGCTATGCCTAGAGCTAGAGCTATGCCCTTTTAACGCGGGGCACACTCATCTAGCTACACCCCTGCAGCTTGGGCCACACTCACCTAACTGCCCCCTGTAGCTCGGGGCACACTCACCTAGCTGCCCCCCTGTGGCGCGGGGCACACTCATCTAGCTGCACCCCGTGGGGTGGGTGAGACTCACCTGGTAGCCCTCCTGCAGCCGAGCACGGGCGCGCCGCCGCCGCCGCGCACGTTGAAGCGCCCGTCGGCGCCGGCCGCCAGCCGCACCCGGGTGGCCCCGCAGCTTGGGGCACACTCACCTGGTCGCCCTCCTGCAGCGTGGAGCGCGCGCGCGGCGCGACGCGCGACACGAGCACGGGCGCGCCGCCGCCGCCGCGCACGTTGAAGCGCCCGTCGGCGCCGGCCGCCAGCCGCACCCGGGTGGCCCCGCAGCTTGGGGCACACTCACCTGGTCGCCCTCCTGCAGCGTGGAGTGCGCGCGCGGCGCGACGCGCGACACGAGCACGGGCGCGCCGCCGCCGCCGCGCACGTTGAAGCGCCCGTCGGCGCCGGCCGCCAGCCGCACCCGGGTGGCCCCGCAGCTTGGGGCACACTCACCTGGTCGCCCTCCTGCAGCGTGGAGCGCGCGCGCGGCGCGACGCGCGACACGAGCACGGGCGCGCCGCCGCCGCCGCGCACGTTGAAGCGCCCGTCGGCGCCGGCCGCCAGCCGCACCCGGGTGGCCCCGCAGCTTGGGGCACACTCACCTGGTCGCCCTCCTGCAGCGTGGAGCGCGCGCGCGGCGCGACGCGCGACACGAGCACGGGCGCGCCGCCGCCGCCGCGCACGTTGAAGCGCCCGTCGGCGCCGGCCGCCAGCCGCACCCGGGTGGCCCCGCAGCTTGGGGCACACTCACCTGGTCGCCCTCCTGCAGCGTGGAGCGCGCGCGCGGCGCGACGCGCGACACGAGCACGGGCGCGCCGCCGCCGCCGCGCACGTTGAAGCGCCCGTCGGCGCCGGCCGCCAGCCGCACCCGGGTGGCCCCGCAGCTTGGGGCACACTCACCTGGTCGCCCTCCTGCAGCGTGGAGCGCGCGCGCGGCGCGACGCGCGACACGAGCACGGGCGCGCCGCCGCCGCCGCGCACGTTGAAGCGCCCGTCGGCGCCGGCCGCCAGCCGCACCCGGGTGGCCCCGCAGCTTGGGGCACACTCACCTGGTCGCCCTCCTGCAGCGTGGAGCGCGCGCGCGGCGCGACGCGCGACACGAGCACGGGCGCGCCGCCGCCGCCGCGCACGTTGAAGCGCCCGTCGGCGCCGGCCGCCAGCCGCACCCGGGTGGCCCCGCAGCTTGGGGCACACTCACCTGGTCGCCCTCCTGCAGCGTGGAGCGCGCGCGCGGCGCGACGCGCGACACGAGCACGGGCGCGCCGCCGCCGCCGCGCACGTTGAAGCGCCCGTCGGCGCCGGCCGCCAGCCGCACCCGGGTGGCCCCGCAGCTTGGGGCACACTCACCTGGTCGCCCTCCTGCAGCGTGGAGCGCGCGCGCGGCGCGACGCGCGACACGAGCACGGGCGCGCCGCCGCCGCCGCGCACGTTGAAGCCGAAGCGTCCGTCTGCGCCGGCCGCCAGCCGCACCGGCACCTCGCCGCCGCCGCACTCCGCGCACTCCGACGACTCCGACTCGTCTGCGTACGACAGCGGCACGCGCAGCGCCCGCTCCAGAAACCCACCCGATCTAAACGCGTTTTAACTGCTAGAGCCATGCTGCAGCCATATTATGATTGTAACAATGGATCGGTTCGAACGGGGTAATCGTTAACATTGTACACCTGATGGTAAGTGGATTCTGTGGGCGATAGATATCAGGATATCCTCAGTTAAGAATCAAAATTAAGAAAAGAAGCATTGTCAGCCATGCAGACTTAGATGGAAAGCCTCGCTTCCAGTAAAGAGGGTCTCTACACACACCATACGAAACACAGCAGCATTAAGCTGCTATTTTATGCTGGTATTCTGTGGGAGCGTGGTCCTTCCCCGGTCGGGCCAACCCACAGGCGTGTCACTTTGTAAAAATCTGAGGTATGGAAAATGGTGGCGCGATTTTCAAATTTGTTCGCATTACTCGTGGGGTATTAAGGTTTAAGAGTTTGCAGTGTATATACTCAACTTATTTATTGAACTATAAGATGTGGGGTATTGAGGTTTAAGGGCTTGCGATTTATTTATATGGGGTTTGTAGTAATATGCGATTTATTTCCTAATTTCAGCTATGGAATTCCATACCTTGAAAAACTTGAGGTATGGAGTGCTCCATACCTTCCATAGTGGAAGTGACACCCCTGCCAACCCATTCGTATAAGAACCATAATATAGCTGCAGCGCAGCGTGGCGTAAAAAAAACCAAATTTTTAATTCTAGAAACAAAAGTAAACACCTTAATAACGCAATAACACTTACTCTTCATCATATGAAGCACTTAACACTAGATTTGCCAGATACATAAAATACAAATAGAATGTCAATTCACGTCATGTCATACAAATGAATTGTCAATCAAAAAGTTGTTGTCATTAACAATATGAGCTCTTCCGGATCGATGGTACAAATGGGCGTGACTCAAGGCTCAATTCTCGGCCCCTTTCTGTTTCTTGTATACATTAATGACTTACCTTACATAGTAGGGGATAACCATGATATAGTATTATTTGCAGATGACACTTCTTTAATTTTCAAATTAAGTCGACAGTTACTAAAATATGACGAAGTAAATAATGCTATCTCTAAATTAGTAAATTGGTTCGATGTTAATAATTTGCATTTAAATGGCACTAAAACAAAATGTATGAAATTCGTGACTCCAAATGTCAAACAATTAAATACTAATGTAATTTTAAATGGGGAGAAACTGAGTCTTGTAGATACCACCATTTTTCTTGGAATCACACTAGACGCGAAGCTTCAATGGAGCCCCCATATATCAAAACTAGCAAGCAGACTTAGTTCTGCAGCATATGCTGTAAAAAAGATTAGAAGTTTAACCAGTGTTGAAACAGCTAGACTAGTTTACTTCAGCTACTTCCATAGCATAATGTCGTATGGTATTTTGCTATGGGGACACGCAGCTGACACTGAAATTATATTTGTTTTGCAGAAGAGGGCCATAAGAGCAATTTATGATTTAAAGCCTAAAGAGACGCTGCGACAAAAATTTAAGGAAATTAATATATTAACTTTGGCCTCTCAATACATTTATGAAAATGTAATGTACGTACACAAAAATAAAAGTAGTTTTACAAAAATAAGTGATATTCGTTCTGTAAATACTAGGAACAGACACAAGCTAGTAGTACCAGTTACTCGACTCCATCGAGTCAGTAATTCATTCTTGGGGCGATGTATACGCTTTTACAACAAAATTCCAGAAAATATACAAAGTTTGACTTGTTCAAAGTTCAAAAACTTTATTAAACTAAGTTTGTATAAAAAGGGTTATTATAATATTAAGGAATTTTTGGATGATAATAACCCCTGGAAATGAGATGATCGCTACCAAGCTATTTCTAATTTGTTGTGTTGTTAATTTGTGTAACATCATGATTGTAAGCTGTTATTTAAAAAAAAAGTCCCGCTGGGTTTCTTGCTGGTTCTTCCCAGGACAGAGGTTTTTTCCGAACCAGTGGTAATCAAAGAAAAGAGTGACTTTCAATAAGTATTATTTATAATCTATATTGAATAAAAAAGTTTCTGTTTCTGTTTCTAAGAAAAGGGCATTTTCTGTAAATGCAAGGATTATTCAAAATCCTGCTTGCGAAACAAATAGAAATTTTAATAAAGATCGCTCTTAATCGAGTAACAGTGTACTAAAATAAAACTTTAAAATTACAGCAATAAAATTGATTTTTCGTCAAGTGGCAGCGAGCTATCTTTGTCTGTTTCTACACAAATACGGAAATTAAATTGAATAGTATAAGGCTCACTCTTCGTCTGGCGGCGGTGCGTCTCCCCAGGCCGGGCGCGGCGGCGGCTCGTCGTGCGTTACGCGGGAGCCACGGGCGCCGTTCACAGTGAGCGCGGGTGATGACGTCACGCACACGTTGGAGCCCGTGCTAGCACCCACAGAACGCTCTCGAGTGCGAGAACTGCTGCGTCTGTGTACAACACGTCATACATCATGTATTGCGGTTTTAAAAATATCTCTATTAACTTATTGTAAGAACAAGCACCCACAGTGAGTCTCACTCAGTATTAACCATGATAATATTACCTGAATAACGACCGCCTCCTTAATCTTGTGGTCGTAAGCGCATCTGCTGATCGTGAGGTCCCAGTTTCAAATCCCAGATCAGGCCAAAATCAGTCATTAAGTTTTTGTCAAGAAATATTCAATAGCAGCCCAAAGTAATAAAATTGCCGGTGTTTCACCTTCGTGTCTCGGAAAGCACGTTAAGTGCAGACAGATTGCCATCCCATAGGATTATGAGAGTGCGGGAATTGAGAGTACACCTTTGATTTTATATTTGAATCTTATTCTACATAGATAGCCATATATGTAGAATAAGATTATAGTGTTCGTTTGTGATTGGCCGGCGAGGACATGTTTTTCTATATTAATATGTGAAGTTTTGACATAGTTAAAGTTTATGATATGGAGAAGAAGTGCAAAACGTTAAAAATATAACATGCTTTACAAATACATTCAATTGAATAAAATAAAACACTCATTGCTTATGTTCATACTGCCAATGTTAAATACAAAATAGTCTCTGGTCAAAAAGAAGCACAGAGTAGAGGATAAGAGAAAGCCAAAGAATTCAATTACTGACAGTTTGACTAAAAGCGTTGTGAATTTTGTGCGATTTAAAATGTTCATATTTTGAGTCGGTGGAGTGTATGTCTTGGCAAAAATACACCTTTTTATAATTTGTATATATTAATTATTATGTGCCGTGTAGTGGCGGTCAAGAATATCTACTACCCCATATCTTCCCGTGGGTGTCGTAAAAGGCGACAAAGGGAAACAGGCAGGAGATGGGCAGCAGCATCTTCCTGATAATAGCCAAAATTACAATAAAAAAACTGCGGTTGCCAACCCGCTCGCCAAGCGTGGCAACTATGCCAACTGATTAGAGCAACAAACAGACGACCCCCAGTCCCCGGCGGCCCCGCTATTCCTGGCTACGGTGGCGACCATGGTAACGGCGGGGCAGGGGGCGCTAAGAATCTCCGGTGGAGGTTCGGTTGCCACCTTAGACGACTCGACCTGGCAACGTATAACGCACGCACCTTGAGGACTGACGAGAAGATCGTGGAGCTGGAAGAAAAGATAGACAAGTTGCGCTGGCATATTATAGGATTATCCGAAGTCCGAAGAGAGGGGGAGGACACGGTAATCCTCGAATCCGGCAACTTGCTCTATCACCGGGAGGGCGACCATCTGTCCCAAGGAGGTGTCGGATTTATCGTCCACAAGTCTATCGTTAACAACGTTGTAAAGATTGAGAGTGTGTCGACGAGGGTTGCGTACCTTATGCTCAGAATCACCAAACGGTATTCGCTGAAGGTCATACAGGCTTACGCACCAACCTCCGCACACCCCGATGAGGATGCCAGCCATGCATTCCTCCAAAACCCAATATACGGTGTTAATGGGAGACTTCAATGCAAAACTAGGCACAAGAGAGAACGGTGAGCTGAAAGTAGGGAAATTTGGAATAGGGCGACGGAACCCAAGGGCCAGCAGCTGGCCAACTTCATGGAGAAAGAGGGACTCTTTATGATGAACTCTTTCTTCCAGAAGCGGCCTCACAGGAAGTGAGCCTGGTCGAGCCCCGACGGTTCGACAAAAAATGAGATTGACTTCATTATGACGACCAGACGACAACTGTTCAGTGATGTTTCCGTGATCGCGAGGGTGAAAACTGGTAGCGATCACCGAATGGTTAGAGGCACACTGAACCTAAACGTTAAGTTGGAGAGGTCACGTCTAATGAAGTCAACGCTCCGTCCCCCTCGTGCTCTGTTCCAAAGTCCTGAAACCTTTCAGCTCGAGTTACAAAACCGTTTTCAGTGCCTAGAAGACTGCAATGAAGTGGACGATATGAATGACAAGCTCGTGGAAACTGTCCATGCGGTCGGAGCTAAGTTCTGCAAGACCCGCCGCAGAAGAACACAAAAACTCTCCGATCACACTCTTAATCTCATGGCTGTTAGACGGGAGATGAAGCTACATTCTTCAACAGATTTGACAGAATACAGGCAACTGAACAGACAGATCTCCAAATGCATGCGGCGGGATTTACGCAACTTCAATACGGCTCGTATTGAAGAAGCGATTGAGCGGAACCAAGGCTCCAAAGTCTTTTTCCGGAGATCTGTCTGTCAGAAAGAGCCAACTGTCAAAGCTGAAGACAGAATGTGGCAGCATCGTTTCCGGGGCACCTGAGATTTTGAGTGAGAGTGAGAGGTTCTATGGGCAGCTGTACACGTCATCGTTGGAGCCACACGCAAGTGTGAGTAACGATCCAAGAGCGAGTCTTATCCGACACAATTCCGATGATATCCCGGACGTCAGTCTGAGCGAGATTAGAATGGCTCTCCAGCACCTTAAAAACGGCAAGGCCCCAGGCGAGGATGGAATTACAGCGGAGCTTCTGAAAGCGGGTGGAAAACCGGTACTTGAAGTCCTTCAGAAGCTCTTTAATTACGTCCTCTATGGTGGCATTACACTGGAGGCGTGGAGCAGAAGTGCGGTGGTGTTGTTCTTCAAGAAAGGTGACAAAGGCTCTCTTGAAGAACTACAGACCGATTTCCCTTCAGAGCCGCGTCTACGTGCTGTTTTCGAGAGTCATTACGAATCGTCTCGCGTACAGACTTGACGACTTCCAGCCTCCCGAACAAGCCGGTTTCCGAAAGGGATTTTGCACGATAGACCACATACATACCCTTCGGCATTGTACAGAAGTCCGAGGAGTACAATTTGCCACTATGTCTGGCGTATGTGTATGTAAGCCTTTAATTCCGTCGAAATTTGGGCGGTGCTGCAGTCCCTTCAGCGGTGCCAAGTTGACTGTCGGTATATCGAAGTGCTGAAGTGCTTGTACAGTAGGGCTACGATGGCTATCCGAGTACAGAACCAGAGTACGAAACCTATCTAATTGCAGAGAGGTGTAAGACAGGGTGATGTTATATCTCCGAAACTCTTCACCGCTGCATTGGAAGACGTTTTCAAGTTTCTGGACTGGAAAAGATACGGTATTAACATGAATGGCGAGTACATCACTCACCTTCGATTTGCCGACGATATAGTCCTTATGGCAGAATCGCTGGAGGACCTAAGCACCATGCTCAATGACCTCAATAGTGCTTCCCAACGGATAGGTCTTAAGATGAACATGGACAAAACAAAGATCATGTTTAATGTCCATGTCACACCTATGCCGGTAGTTGTTGAGAGCACTAAGCTCGAAGTTGTTGACGAGTATGTTTACCTGGGACAAATAGTCCGACTATGTAAGTCCAACTTCGACCGAGAGGTCAATCGACGGATTCAACTCGGCTGGGCAGTGTTCGGGAAGCTACGACACATCTTCTCGTCAGACATACCTCAAAACCTTAAAACGAAATTGTACAACCAGTGTGTGTTGCCAGTGATGACTTATGGAACTGAGATGTGGTCCTTCACTGCTGGCCGTATGAGGAAGCTCAAGGTCGCTCAGCGAGCTATGGAGAGGGCTATGCTCGGAGTTTCTCTGCGTGATAAACTTAGGAATGAGGATATCCGCAGTAGAACCAGAGTAACCGACATAGCCTGATTAGTAAGCTGAAGTGGCAGTGGGCCGGCCATATATTTCGAAGAACCGACAACCGATGGGGAAGAAAGGTTCTTGAGTGGCAGCCTCGTATCGGTAGGCGAAGTGTAGGGCGACCCCCCACGAGATGGAGTGCCGACCTGGTAAGACATGCAGGAAGTCGATGGATGCAGGTGGCTCAGGACCGTGCTTTGTGGCATTCTTTGGGGGAGGCCTATGTTCAGCAGTGGACTTGTAAAGGCCTGTAATGATGATGATGATGATGAATTATTATGTTGTATGTCCTTAATAAAAGTTAAAAATTTAACGAATTACAATCGAATTTCGAGCAGTAGGCTCGCACTAGGTACAATGATGATACCTGACGAAGGTCCTGTTGGTGGAGCGCTCGCGGCGGGCGTGCTCGAGCGCCTGTGTCTCGGTGCGCGCGACGGTGGGCGCGCTGTGCGCGGCGAGCCCGGCCAGCGCGCCCAGCGCTCCCAGCGCTCCCAGCAGCGGCCGGCGCCGCGGCGCGCGTAGCCGGAAGAACCCGTGCCGCTCCACGCTGCAGCGCCACAGCGCTTTAGCAGCGCGCCCCGACCGCATGTTGAACCCCAACACCGTGTCGTAGCTTTCCGACTGAAAATGTTACACTGCCTTTATATCCAGGATGTTTTCCTCATTTAATTAAATGTTCGATTAAAAACTATTACATGACAAACACATTAATTCCACTTGTAGGCTATGATAGACGCTTGTTCTAATAACTTATTTCTGCATGAACCGATTTTGAGGACCAATAGTTTTTGAGTTATTCTTAATAATTTATATTTAAGTTGGTTGTACAAAATTTAAAATTTTATATTACTAATTTATAAATAAATAACAAATAACTTAGCTTTCCATTGACGCCCGTCGAATTGGGTATTGATACGTATTTTCACAGAAAAGTTACACTATTATAAGCACACACACAAAGTTTCAACATGCGGAAACGCGTAATTTTTGAGAATTTTTTTTATTGAAAATCAATTATTCATGCAATGTTTATGTCTAATCCTACCGTGGCGATTTTCAAGGGTGAAATATCGATTCATTGGATCGATTCTGTACCGCATACCGATTTAAAAAAAAAGGAAAATATAAATCCATTTTATGAAAAACAAGAAAGATGCCATAATAATAGGGCAGATAACAAATAAAATAGGTTAGGTTCAACTTATATCAAAGAACCGAATTGATTGACCCCGACTCCACTTGGTACGAGTCTGTCCTATCCCTAGTGGTTTTATAGAGCCGGAGGCGCGTAGTCGTAGGCGTCCTCGCCTTCGCAGCTTCGGCTTGTTGGTCCAGCCTTAGCCGCTACGGCTCCTCCGATGCCTACGCTGTTACAACAGGCGGAGGCTGCTCTTCCCGCAGCGCCGGAGACGTAGCAGTCTCAATACAGATACAGAAATCCTTCTGAATCAGTCCCCCTATTTTGAATGATTCCCCCTATTCCCCCTATGATGAAGGAGATTTTTTTCTCATAAAATGGATTTATATTATAAATGCAACCATAACAAAATATAGATAATTAGAGATCGATTTTTTGTGAATCGATACATCAGCTTACAATTCGAATCGATTTAAAAAAATCGAACTTTTTCGGAAAGAATCGACATCCCTACTGACAACGACAATACAAAATGGCGTCAGTTTTACGGTAACAATTGACATAAATATTGCAAAAATAGTTGATTTTCAATATTTTTTTTCTCAAAAAGTACGTGTCTCCGAATGTTGAAACTTTGCGTGTGTGCTTATAATAATGTAACCTTTCTGTCTTTGTTGTAATATCAACCCCCAACCGACGGACGTCAATGGAAAGTCGTACCTATAACAGTAACCAATCAAACTGGCTCTTGTCTAACTTTCTTTTTCTTAATCGGCCCATAAAAATCCACTGCTGGATATAAGCATCCCCCATTGTAGCGAAAGTATCTAGTAAAGTCTTTTTAAATTTTCTGGTGTTTCTCATAGTTTTCTCTTACAATACCCACATGATGAAATAGGCTGATGGATTCTCTTTAGTCAGCATTTTTCAACTTATAACATCATCATTACAGTCCTTCACAATTCGACTGCAGAACAAAGGGCCTCTCCCAAGGAATATCACAAAGCACGGTCTTAAGCCACCTGCATACATCGACTTCCTGCATCTCTTATCAGTTTTTTCACTCCATCTAGTAGGAGCCACCCTACACTTCGCCTACCAGTACGAGGCTGCCAATCGACAACCTTTCTCCCCATCGGTTGACGGTTCTTTGAGCCACTTAGAGATTAGATTTATTTATTTAAAATTATTACAATTTGAAAAACAAATTTGACTTTGAAATGTAATTGTAAATAATAGGTCAGGGAAAAGTTTCTTCATATTTTGCTTCGTGTTTTTTCTGTTCGCCTAAATGAGTTGCACCCTCGGCTTTTCGCCTGTTTCGGTCTCTCCAGAATTCTTTGGGTAGTGTTAGGTTAACAAGGATACATCAAGAGAAGGCCGTTAAAACTACTTGTCGCATTTTTTTGATCAAAAACCCCAAGATTTCTACAGCAACGGGATTATGTCACTACTTACAAGATGGCAAAAAGTTATCGAACAAAATTATATATATATAATTAAATTTTGAAAAATAAAATGTCTTGAATTTGTATCTAAAATATGAAGAAACTTTTGCTCCAACCTTTTATGTTAATACTACTTTCATACTCACTGGTTCTCGTTTTAATTGTATAAAAAACTGTTTCTTCTTGAAGGATATCTTGACGATTTTACTCCAAGAGAATGTGTTCACGCGAATGTTGTTTTGGAATACGACTATACCAATTGATGTTACACCAATGAATATGTCCTTCCCATTATAGTCCTGAAATAAAACATATTAGGGGTGGTTAATTACAATATTTTATAGAAATAATATAACCATTTCTTATATTACGCGAATACTACACAATAAATAAAAGTAATATAAGGGATTTTGTCCCAAAAATTAATATTTGAAAGCTGAATGTAAGCCGCGTAAAATATAACATCAGAATGTCAAACACTTTAGTCACCATGTGATTGATGAGCGATGCAACATAGTCAAAACGTCGGAAATTAAAAATATGCAAATAAGTTAACTTCCAAGGTATGTTGTACCAGTTCGCGAAATCTTTGAAAAAAGCTTATATCTAGTTATGAATTTAAAAAAAACTGGAAAAAATTAAACACTACAATAAAGTAACAGTTTATATTAACTTTTACTATTCTATTAAATGTTTCTATTATACTATAAAATGCAATTAGTTTGTCAAGTTGTTTTTTTTATATATACAGTATGTCCGGTCTCGATCTAGCAATAATTTAAGGTTACAAAATATACCTAATTTCATCGACAAAAACACCCATATATGGGGGTCTACCGTTGGACGGTGCACCAGCTCACTACGCATGCGCTGTGAGAGCTTTTCTTAATGAAAAATGTTCACCATGGATAGGACGTGGTGGAACGGTACCTTGGCCACCTCGCTCTCCGGATTTAACACCGCTGGATTATTTTTTATGGGGATGGATGAAGCAGAGGGTTTATGCTACAGTTCCAAAGAGCAGATAAGAACTGCTCGACAAAATAATTACGATTGCGGATGATATAAGATCCGACATAGCCTTAATATCAAGGGCCACACGACAAATGGCTGTAAGGTCAGTGGCCTGTCTACAGAATAGAGGTGGACATTTTGAACAATTATTAATTAAATTAATAATAATACTTAATGCCATTAAAAGTTTCTTAAAAGAGCATTTTCATTTAATACATTATCGAAAATTAATAGCGCTTCTATGAGGCTCTACATACATGACCGTCGCAAAAGGGTCATATTCAAACAGCCCTAACTCTCGAGTTATGCAATTAAGAACAATAATTTTAATGTCTGTTTGTAAGTAATATCCTTAAGTATTAGGATAGTATTAAAAAATATAGTATCAATGTGCTAGTTTTTGAAGTATGTTAAGAAAAATAAAAAAACAGTCATTTTTTTTTAACTTAAATTAGCATTGTAAATGTTTTAAGATATTTTGTAGGGAAAACTTTCCATGATGTTTATTTTTATTTGATAGATGCTATTTTTACCTTTCAAATAACATTTCTTTGACATATGTAGGATCTTTATGTCCAGAGAAATCTGCATCTTTTGGCAGAGGTATCTACAAGAATAAAAAAATATTTAAATGGTGGCCATTCCAACAGGAGGGGGGGGGGGGTAGACCCCCACATATGGGTGTTTTTGTCGATGAAATTAGGTATATTTTATAACCTTAAATTATCGCTAGGTCGTGACCGGACACACTGTATATAGAATAAACAAGCACACAATCCACTTTATGGTAAGTGGATGCTGTGGCTTATAGACATCTGTATCTATCATATTCAATATAATATTGATTAAGAGTGCACTATACTTACACTTACACTCACCATACGAAACAGCAGCATTCTATTTTATGGTGGTATTCTGTAAGAGCATGATCCTACCCCAGTGGAGCCGATCCATTCGTACTACAACCATAATATATAGCTGCAGCATAGCTCTACAATGAGGTTGCAGGTTGCGGCTGCAAGTGGCGGCAGATTGCGCAGGTACCTTGGCGGGGTGCGAGTCGACGCCGTAGCAGTCGAGGCGCTTGGCGTGCTCGAGGAAGTTGGCGTCCGCGTCGGCGGGCGCCTGGCCGCGGTGCAGCTTGTGCAGCTCGCGCACGCGCCGCTCGTCGTCCGGCGCCGCGCGCGCCACCAGCCGCAGCGCCGCCGCGTAGCCCGCGCCCGCCCCCGCCCCCGCGCCGCCCTCCGCCGCCGCCGTGTAGTCGCCCAGCTCCGCTGCACCACGCGTCACGATCATCTTACATGTCCACTCTTCACACATTCACTCACACCAACATTAAACTACAGCTTACGAGTATGAAAAAATAAGTTGTAAACAATACCAGCAGAAAATAGCAGATTAATGCTGCTGCATTTTGTATGGTGAGTGTAGAGAACCGGTGAACCATTTTACTGAAAACGAGACTTTCCATCTCAGTCTTCAGGGATGACAATGCATCTGTATGTTGACTTTTAGTTGGGGATAAATGTAAATGTCTATGGGCCATGGCATCCACTTAGCACCAGGCGGACTGTGTACTCATTTGTCACCCTTATTCTATATAAAAAAATTCACTCACTCGTTTATTTATTCAGTCATTTGGAACCTTTCAAATAAGCCACAACTGAACCTATACCTCCACCATAGATTATCTCATTTAGTATGACATGCACCAATCATCTGACACATCTACTCTACACACATTCACTCACTCCGACATTCATTTATCCTTTCAAATGTCCATTACTAAACACAGGTCTCACTCATAGATTGGATCATTTACTACAGGGTTATTTTTCAGAGTAGCCAAATTTTAAACTAAAGTTCAAATATATAAATAATGATAAACCGTTAATGCATTTTTGATAATATGAGTAAATAATGTTTCTACTTTTATTTGAAATCATCCCAAATTGAATGTGATTTATGGGCAACAACGTTTTTGCCTACCAATCGACCCTTACAAATATGTGCGTTGAATTTAAAAGATAAAAAGAACAAAATATTTCAGATTTTTTTAAAATTATTTTTTCATCATCATTTGCCTATATTACTTATTCTGAACCTTCTCTACAAATTTGGCCGGTTACTGCAAAATAACCCAGCATAGTTTCCACGCTTGATGAGAGCGTCGTCAACCATAGTTTTATAAATTTATTTAGTTTCTCTCGTCTGTCTCTTACGACGCCCTAAGATTGTAATGGGGTAGTGGTGGAGGGACATGGGATTTTATTATTTGGAGTTGTTATCAAAAAATTGTGGTTACCCATCTTCTGTTTCTTACATTTCCCTCTTTTTTTAGCCCCTTTAGCCTCTTATGACACTTATGGGATGATATGGGGTAGGCGGCTACTCACATGCCTGCCGCAGGGGCAATCTAGGGTGTACAGCGATCGGGGCAATATCTGAACTGTCTCTACAGACATGCCTGCCGTTCAGAACGAGAGTGTACGTCTCGCTGGACAGCACGCGTTGGACGCGTTGAGAATGACGCCAGTTTTATCGAAATATCAATGAACCGGTATATATAGGTTTGGCTCTATTTTGTATACACTTTCTTACATATTTCTGCCGTCATATATATAGCAGTTATAGAGAACTATTACAATTACACGCTGTGAGACTCAATCCAATGAGGTGACAACAGTTGGTTGTAGGTGTATATGGGCTGTAGTAGTCATTTACTAGCTTCTGTTTAATAAAGAAAATTATTTGACTCTAGGAAGTACATTCAATCATTTGTTACAAGCCCATGTAAGTCCACTGCTAAACATAAGCCTACCCATAGATGGCCTCATAAGGGAGATTTTGCCATAGTTGCCCCCATTGGCAGGAGGGTGGCAACTACAGTTAATTTATTTTCTAGTTGTTATTAGAAAAATACTCCAGCAAGCTATATAAAAAATTATACCAATTTTTTTAAAAAATCCCATACATAACATTTTTTTAGAAAACACTTACCTTGTACTGTAAAAGAAGCAAGCAGTAGGGCTGTGTTTTTAGGTGCTGTCATCCTTCCATCAAGTAGTAATTTCCGTAGCTGAAGGCAGAGTAGATATCGGGTAAACTCCTCAGATAGGCGACTAGGTTCCGGTGGATAGAAACGAACGGCCAGCCAAAATTGTGCATTTGCACCAACTTGCTTTTTTACAGACTTACTGCTGTCTAACCAACGCTGAAATAAAAATAAATAATAGATATATAATATTTCATTAGTTCAAGTGGACAAGTTAGACTGTAACAAAAAATAGGAGTTTTTAAAAAACACAGAACTTTTTATATAATAGTTCTGTGTAATAAAAATAAAGAACATTAAAACTACCCCGTATAAATAAATAATAGATCACAAGGTTTATAAATTTTAATATCTAGTAATTTAACATCTCTACAACAAATATGATAATATCACTTAATTTATCAACAACTTATGGGAGTGTCCCTAATGAAAACCAACAACTAAATCAATAAATCCATGAGTCATCAAGATGATACAATAAAGGAGCAATTAAGACCTAAGGACCTTGTCCTACAAGAACTAATTGTTATTGTCTGGTAAGTAATGAGCTTATAGTGTGTAGATAACATTAGAATTATTTGATAAAAATTCAACAACTGATATGGCCTGTCAATGGTGTAAATTCAAGATTAATACTAACAATAAAATATAAAAATAAAAATTATTTTTTGCTACATACCATATATTTGCAATATTTAACATTTCTTTTTTGAGTACTATATGTATTAGTACTATATGGAAACCAATTAGAAAGTATGTAATTGTATATAAAGAATGATTCATAAAAATCTATTAAACAAGAATGAAATCAGCCATAAAGTAAATACAAGTTAAGGAAAATGCCTTAAAATATTGTAACATATAGCAGAAGGCAAAAATAAACATCTCAAATGCTGCAGATTGAGTAACCAACCCTTAAGCTATGGTGGTTTTAATTAACTACATACATGCATAACAGTAGGTTAGAATTGAGGGTTAGCCAATTAAAGTGAACCAAAACCCTTATTCTGTAACACTTTGCTTAGTGAAGTGAGACAGAATCCCCAATTGTAATAAGTGAGTAATGTCCCGTTTTCCTCAGTAAAACACACTAGAACACCCGAATTCTACACAAACAATTACACTACTCACTTAATGTTATTCCAAACAGAGCATAAGTGTATGTACTTTATATCATCTCCATGTGCTCATTTGTCTCAGTTACATTAAGCAAATATGTTAGTCATAACCAAAAAAAAAAAAAACATTTCAGTAGTTTTTGCAACTTAAATTTACTTCAGTTATCTAGCTAAAACAATTGAACCAATTAAACTATCTTATGATATTGAAACCCAGAGCCATAAAGCCAGTTTAAAAAAAAATTATGATATTGATAAAATATTTTTTACCGTTATCTCAGTATTTGTTGCATTTGGAGGTGATCCATTTTCCGTAAACTGTAGTCCAAAGTAATCCTTTTCCACAAGCTCCAAATGTTGGAATACTAGTTCAAGGAGAACACTACCTTTAGATTTTTTCTGAAAAAAAAATTCATATCTGCTCACATCATATTTTTAACAAATAGATTGCTAGTAAAAATAAATTAAGAATCAAAATGTCTCAAAAACATACTAAAATGTAAACTAAATTAATTTGTAAGAATGAGATTTATAACTGCACAAAATAAAACTCATCCTGCATACACGTCTTACAGGAAAAAAAAAATAATATAAACATATATTTTTTCTCTCTTTATTACGTTTAACAATAATTCTAGACAGCATACAAATATATAATTAGTTTAGTTTGCAACAAGCTATTTTCTACAACTCTCTACAATTTTACAAACGGCTCTATCATGTACAAATAAAATGAAACAAAAAAAAAGCCACGAAATCTCCTCAAAGAAGATCAACAGTCCTTTGATATTGTTAAAATATACAATTATTAAGTTCTGGACATGGGCCTCTTTATGATGGAACAATTTGCCTTAATCACCATACTTGGCAGACGGATTGATGGTCTCAATACCAGACACTGCTGCCTGTCCTGAATATGAACATGCTAATTGACAAATGTATTATAGCTTTAGAACAGATATGACACTCCACATTTTAAATTTCTTAAATGTTATAAATATATAATAGAATACTTTTTAGGTGAAAAACATTTCCAATCTTTAATACAATGAAGTTCATATCAGTTACATATAAGAATGTTCCTTTTATACAGTCATTTATAGCATACTTTCATTCAATTTATTTTAATAGGTATACTTTGGACTTTGTTATCGAATTATTATACCTATTGACTATTTAAATCTACTGTTTGTCATAACTTTCCAAGAATACTTTGTCTCGAATGTATCTCTTTAAATTTTGATGCTAGGCAGGGAGATAGGTGAGGGATCTTTATTATCGGAAAGTCATTCAATGAATGGGCGACAGTAGGAGTCCATAAGAGCAGGCATAGGTTATATGATCTTTACCATGAAAGGTCATATAATCATAGCGTCGAATTTAGGGAATATTCAAAAATATTTAAAAGAGTGTGCTCCATAGCAAAGTCTTTGCATTTGAGCAACAAAATTAAGACGGCTTCCAATAAAATTAAAATGACATGGAGTATAATTAATAGCGAAACTGGTAAGATCAACTCTCGCAATTCAATTTACCAGTTAAGTGTTAACAACAAATTAACTGTATCAGATCAGGACGTAGCAATGGTTTTTGAGAAATATTTTACTGATATTCCGATCTTGACCACTAAGTCACTGAATTCTTCTCCTGCCGTCGCCGAATCATTACTTAAACAAAATGTAAATGTGTGTACAAAGAATTTTACATTTCATAAAGTGTCATCAAAAGATATTGTAAAATATTTTAAAACTATTGATGTTAAGAAAACTGCGGATCTGTGGGAGATTTCCGTTAAAGTTATTGCGTCTATAATAGATACACTTGCGCCTCATTTAGCTATTATTTTTAATACTAGTATCGAATCTGGTGTGTTTCCTGATTTAATGAAGCATAGTAAAGTAATACCTTTATTTAAATCTGGTAGTACATTAGACCCCGCCAATTTTAGACCTATTTCTGTACTACCAACACTTAGTAAGATTTTTGCAAAATTGTTGTTGATCAAATGTTAAATTTTTTTAATATAAATAATTTACTTCATAAAAATCAATTTGGTTTCACAAGGGGTCGCTCGACAACTGATGCCGGTGTTGAGCTGATTAAATATATCTTTAATGCATGGGAGAATTCACAGGATGCTTTGGGTATATTTTGTGACCTATCCAAGGCCTTCGATTGTGTTCACCATGAAACATTAATCAGGAAACTTCAACACTACGGTGTAAGAAGTGATGCCCTTAAATAATTAATTATTTCATATTTAAGTAAGAGAACGCAAAAAGTTGTCATTAACAATAGGAGCTCTTCCGGATCGATGGTACAAATGGGCGTGCCTCAAGGCTCAATTCTCGGCCCCTTTCTGTTTCTTGTATACATTAATGACTTACCTTACATAGTAGGGGATAACCATGATATAGTATTTGAAAATTAGAGAAGTGTCATCTGCTATTTGCAGATGACACTTCTCTAATTTTCAAATTAAGTCGACAGTTACTAAAATATGACGAAGTAAATAATGCTATATCTAAATTAGTAAATTGGTTCGATGTTAATAATTTGCATTTAAATGGCACTAAAACAAAATGTATAAAATTCATGACTCCAAATGTCAAACAATTAAATACTAATGTAATTTTAAATGGGGAGAAACTGAGTCTTGTAGATACCACCATTTTTCTTGGAATCACACTAGACGCAAAGCTTCAATGGAGCCCCCATATATCAAAACTAGCAAGCAGACTTAGTTCTGCAGCATATGCTGTAAAAAAGATTAGAAGTCTAACCAGTGTTGAAACAGCTAGACTAGTTTACTTCAGCTACTTCCATAGCATAATGTCGTATGGTATTTTGCTATGGGGACACGCAGCTGACACTGAAATTATATTTGTTTTGCAGAAGAGGGCCATAAGAGCAATTTATGATTTAATAAAGCCTAAAGAGTCGCTGCGACAAAAATTTAAGGAAATTAATATATTAACATTGGCCTCTCAATACATTTATGAAAATGTAATGTACGTACACAAAAATAAAAGTAGTTTTACAAAAATAAGTGATATTCATTCTGTAAATACTAGGAACAGACACAAGCTAGTAGTACCAGTTACTCGACTCCATCGAGTCAGTAATTCATTCTTAGGGCGATGTATACGCTTTTACAACAAAATTCCAGAAAATATACAAAGTTTGACCTGTTCAAAGTTCAAAAACTTTATTAAACTAAGTTTGTATAAAAAGGGTTATTATAATATTAAGGAATTTATGGATGATAATAACCCCTGGAAATGAGGTGATCGCTACCAAGCTATTTCTAATTTGTTGTGTTGTTAATTTGTGTAACATCATGATTGTAAGCTGTTATTTAAAAAAAAAAGTCCCGCTGGGTTTCTTGCTGGTTCTTCCCAGGACAGAGGTGTTTTCCGAACCAGTGGTAATCAAACAAAAGAGTGACTTTCAATAAGTATTATTTATAATCTTAATCTATATTGAATAAAAAAGTTTCTGTTTCTGTTTCTATTATTTGTATATATCATTAATATTATATAAAATATATTTTTCTTTTATGTATTGTATTTATCAGTAAAACATAAAGAAAGTACAACATAGCATATTAGTCTGGGGCGTAGCTACCGCCATATCAGCTGTATCAATGATACTGGGACACCGGGCTACAGAGGCCCCGAACGTATGTAAGCAAAAATTTCTAAGGACTTCTATGGGACAGGATGTTGGTTTGAACTGTATATCTAGCTTAGTTCCTAGGAGTATTAATTATTGTAAGTAATAGCTTATAATCAATATATAATTATTTCAATTCAATTATAATTCAAGTTTTTGTTCCTTTTACCCTTAATTTGGGCCCCCCGACAAATTTCAATACAGGGCCCTCCACTAAGGCACGCTACTCCACTGATATTAGTATCATATAACTTAATTACATATGTTATAGCTGAACACTATCCCTCACAATAACATTTTACTATCATATCATTATTATTTATTTGCTATTCTACTGATAGCAAATTCTTTATCTTCATAAGCCTCTTCCCCTTTAGGGAGGATTTACTACAATAGTTATTCTTGGGATGCAGTTTGTCAATAATCAACAACAGGGATTGATCTGTCAACTTAGTACATAAGCAATAATCAATTCATATTTTTTTTATTAACCCCTATATTTTTGTTTACATTGACTTTCTACAAAATTAATACTGGGCAATATCCATAATTTTTATGACCACAGTTCAACTGTGTAAGTAAGGAAATAAATATTTCAAAACTCACCTCTATTTGAAAAGATTGCTGGGTATCGTCCAAAAAATGCACAGTGACATTGAAGATGTTAAGCTTTCGTTCTCGCGCCAGCTCACAGGCGCGCACGTTGTATGTACCACTTGAACTACCAAACGCGCGACGTGATACACTCTCAATCATTTCATCGATTACTCACTACTACCGGATTCCTATCAGACAAGTCAACGGAACTTCCCTGTTACCGAAACTACTGAAACAGCGCGCATTCGACGACACTACTCAATAAACAATCTTCTTGTAGCTAATGAACCTCTAACCTTGTGATTCATATGACCTGTGCTTACAATATTCGTCCTCATAGCGAGGTTTTCCTGGCCAATAATGACGTAGGAAGTCTCTTGCTCTAAATAGTAATTATTTTGCACACTTCACATTTTGCAAATATTTGTTATTGTCAGAGGATGACAATTATCAAAGTATAAATTTTAGTAAAATGTAAAAGTCAATAACAAGACAAAATTGTTTTTGTTTATCGTTTTGTTAAAGTCTGTGTTCTGTACAGAATCTTCTTATTTATTTTTCTCTTATATTTGTGTCTAATTAATTATTTTAATTAGCGTTATGCGATACACCATTTCACACATTTTGTTTACGAAACTTCGTCGTTCGTCGCCATATTGAATTTTTGATTCATCTATAAACGACGTTTCGGTATTACAAAATAAGTTATCCTAGATATGTCAATAGTAATCATAATAATTAGTCATAATTTAAATAATACTAGAAAAGCTTTACATTATTTAAGCAATCAACGTAGTATGGAAATTTAATTTGGACGTTGATACTAAACCACGTTATAAAATATTACATTTAAATATAACAGTACAATGCAATTCCACAAAAACAAAACGTTTAGCTCTATCATTTTGTGTTATTTTCCGCTTCCATGGCGCGAAAGAAAACTTACACTTTTCGGTTTTTTTTAACCTACAATTCTACATAAATTGAGTTAAATAATAATGTCGCTTGTTCTAATATAATGTTCAAATAAGGTAAAAACAGAAAAATCTATGGAAAAATGTTAATTCATGGGTGGAAAAAGAAATGTGAAGTGGTCATCTTTGGTCTCTTTATACTATACCAAATATGAGAGTAAATATATACACTCGTATCTTCTGATTTACTAGAAAAATGACATCCCTATTTTAGTGGTATTATATGTGACGTTACTTACAAGACATGACGTCTATCTATATCTAGTATCTATAGTGATTTCGTTCACAATGATAGCAACAACCGACATCGATATACTCGTTTTGTTATTTATTTTTATTATTTTATCATAATATGTCTAAAAATATAAAGAAAATAGGACTAGACTTATTATTATTCGAACTATCAAGTAAATTATTTTCTAAATCAAATGATGATTATTATATTACATTGCAAATATTCGTTTCGTAAACTTTTAAAACTAATAGTTAGGGAGGTGTGAATACTAAGTCTTGACAGACACACGGTACATAAGTGAGTTGAATCCCAATTGTAATCCCAATTTTATATGCGATCCGCTGCGGCTTCGCACGACTGTTTACTAGATCTTGAAAACAGAGCTACTTACCAGGTCCAATTGTGAGTGTGAGTGTTCATCAAAATCGGTTCAGCCGTTCCCAAGTGACGATCTTTCATACAAGCGACAATTAATTTTAATTTATATAGATTTACCACTTGCTTAGCAGAAAAGCATCGACTACTTTCAACAAAGCTTTTTCTGCTTGAACGAAAATATTTCTTAATGATGTTAAGGCAGGATTTTAATAATGAATCTTCTACCAAATTATATATATTATTACTTAGAAGCTCTAAGACCCCATACCATCCTGTGAGTATCGTAAAAGACGACAGAGGAAAATAAAATAGGAGATAGGCAACAGTATCTTCATGATAACAACCCAAAATAATAAAAAATTGCGTTTGCCAACCCACTGAGTGGGAACTATAGCAAAAATGTCTTTCAGCAGTAAACTTTTGATAGGCTGTAATTAATGAATGAATGATTGGATAATATCTTGAGGGAGCAGAGAGGAAAACGGGTAACACGTTCGTAATCGATTTATTGTTAGTTGTGATCTAGCGACAAAAGGGAAGGTAGACCGTGTTCGTCCCGCTGTTATTGTACTTTTTGTGTACGTTCCGTGAAGCAAATCCAGTGTCGATTAAGTGAACACAGTTACACATTATTCCCTTTGAAACCCATAATAAGTCTAAGGATAATTTGGCGTAAATATACCAGCTCAATTTAAGTAGATTTGTACGCAGTAGAGCCATTCTGCAGCTATATTAGTTGTATAGTTGTAGCACGAATGGGTAGCCTCAACCGGAGAAGGACCACGCTCTCACGGAATATCAGCGTAAAATAGCAGCTTAAGGCTGCTGTGTTTCAACCGGAGACCACTTTTACTGGAAATGAGACATTCCATCTTAGTCCTCACGGGTAACAACGTATCTGCATTTTGTATAGTTGTTGAGAATATAATATGTAGATGTCTATGGGCTGCAGCAACTACTTAACTTCAGGTGGACTGTGTGCCCGTTAAGGTGAAGGTGAAGAATAAGGGTGACACTTTATCTTTCACCGTAGTCCACAGGGATGACAACACATCTCCAACCTTCTTGAAATGAAGTTTAATGCATCTGTTCATAGTTCGCATTAGACACTTACCATCAGTTAGAAGGAATGCTTATTTTTAAAAATCATATTAGATCTGTAATACACGATACAAAAAGTAAGTCATTAAATAACTGTAAGGCTTTGACTTCAAAAAAGGATTCTCAAAACACTTTTTCGACTGTATGCTCTTTCTTTGTTCGTATGTTACGCAATATTTTGTAAACTATGAACCGATTTGAATTTGTTATCATATGTTATTAATTATTTGTTTTCATGTATTATTATTACACTACAACAGACGTTCCATTAAAAATTGAAAGAAAAATTCTTAAAATTTGTAATATGAAGATTTTTTCTTTTATTGGGGATAAGACGACACGACATCCTAATTGTTATTTTCATCCATTGAGATTGAGTTATATGTACTACGTACTAGAGAAGCCATTCCAAACAAAAATTGTGTCCTACTCTATGTATTCGCGCATGCGCGGGAGTAGTAGTCGCGCATGCGCGAAGACTTTAATTTGATATAAAATAAGATATTAATATAAAATCAATATAAGGATTTAATATAAAATATCTTCAAACATATTTCTAAATAAAATGTTATAATAATTATTTTATGGAATTCACAAATCTTCAATTTACGCAAAATTTAGTTTGTATGGATTGCACTACAGTTCAGTTGAACATAGTCAATGTTCGGAATGGCTTCTCTAGTACGTAGTAGATACATATAACTCAATGTCTTCATCATTATCATTACAGCCTTTTCCTTTGTTTGACGTGTTGGAGCTCGGCGGCCAGGTTGTTAAGAATCGACGCTCCGGGAAGTCTGCAGTCTGTGAACACGTACAGGATCGCCCCCGTCACTACATTAGATTTGATAGACCACAAATCCTCGCTAAAAAACACCGATTCCTTCCAAGGATGATTCGCGAGCCTATTGAAATCAAAAAACATCCTAATTTCAATAGAGAAGATGGCTGGGTACTACCATCTGCTTGGGATCCCGTAATTGATTAAATTAAATCCCAACCCAAGCATGCGGCTGCAAGACTTCATGATAATGTAAGTTCATACTGCGTAGATAGGAACAAAAATTAATAATTTTTAATCTGGAGGTAGCCGTGGTTAACTATGACATTGAGACGTCATACACCTCAGTTCCCCCCATGACCATGGGTGCTGGAAAGTGCTCGAAACGTCGGGAATATAAAATAAGTTAATATACGCGATAAAATCCGTAAAATTATTTTTATTTAAATATAATTTTACGGATGAGTCAATCTCATTTTTTGTAGAACCCTCGGGGCTCTACCACGTCCACTTCCTGTGGGGCCGCTTCTGAAAGAAAGATTTCATCATAAAGAGTCCCTCTTTCTCCATGAAGTCGGCCAGCTGCTGGCCCCTTGGGTTCCGTTGCCGTATTACAAATTTCCCTACTTTCAGCTCACCGTTCTCTCTTGTGCCTAGTTTTGCATTGAAGTCTCTCATTAACACCGTATAGTGGGTTTTGGAAGAATGCATGGTTCTAGAGATATCCTCATACATTTCATCCACCTCCTCATAGGGGTGCGCCGAGGTTGGTGCATAAACCTTTAGTGAATACCGTTTGGTGATTCTGAGTATAAGGTACGCAACCCTCGTCGACACACTCTCAATCTTTACAACGTTGTTAACGAGAGACTTGTGGACGATAAATCCGACAACTCCTTGGGACAGATGGTCGCCCTCCCGGTGATAGAGCAAGTTGCCGTATTCGAGGATTACCGTGTCCTCTCCCTCTCTTCGGACTTCGGATAATCCTATAATATGCCAGCGTAACTTGTCTATCTCTTCTTCCAGCTCCACGATCTTCTCGTCAGTCCTCAGGGTGCGTACGTTCTATGTTGCCAGGTCGAGTCGTCTTAGGAGGCAACTGAACCTCCACCGGAGATTCTTTGCACCCCCTGCCCCGCCATTACCATGGTCGCCACCGTAGCCAGGAATAGCGGGGCCGCCGGGGACTGGGGGCCGTCTCTTTGTTACTCTCATCATAGGGGGGTATTTGCCATAGTTGCCACGCTTGGCGAGCGGGTTGGTAACCGCAGTTTTTTTATTGTAAGATTGTTGTTATCAGGAAGATGCTGCTGCCCATCTACTGCCTGTTTCCCTTTGTCGCCTTTTACGACACCCACGGGAAGATATGGGGTAGTGGATATTCTTAACCGCCACTACACGGCACTGTTGTTATCTTAATCTTGTGATATTTCTTAGTCAACTCGAAAGGTTCGAAAAATGAAATTTTGGTAAAAATAAAAGCCGAACACTAAAAATACTTAATAAAATAATTTCGACATAATAGCTTCTGAAGTCAGTGTTGAGACTTGGCTTGCTAGATGGCCGGAAAATCCGGGATTGTCCCGGAATTACGTGTCTTGTTCCGTGTCCAGGAATTACACTTTATTATTCCGGATTTCGAATACTTACCACTAGTTTTTTTATTCATCATGTTACGAGTACGATG